GAATTCCAGCCCCTCCCCATGGAATTCCAGCCCCTCCCCATGGAATTCCAGCCCCTCCCCATGGAATTCCACCATGGAAATTCCAGCCTTTCCCCACAGAATTCCAGCCTTTCCCATGGAATTCCAACTTTTCCAGCCCTTCCTGTGGAATTCCAGCACAGAAAATTCCACCCTTTCGCCATGGAAATCCAGCTTTTCCCAAAGAATTCCAGCTTTTCCTGTACAATTCCAACCCCTTCCCCATAGAATTCCAGCTTTTCCAGCCCTTCCTGTAGAATTCCAGCAGGGAAAATTCCAGCCTTTCCCCCATGGAATTCCAGCCTTTGGTGAATTAACACCAAATTTCTGTTTGATTAAACAAACAAAAAAAAAAAAACAAACCAAAAAACCCAAGCAGGGAGTGACATCCTGAGTTTCAAATCCCTGCATACAATGAACGATTCATTTCCTTAAGCTGGCTGTTTTAACATCATCACTATTGTTAGTTTAAACAAAAAACAAAAAACCCAAAAAAAAACAAAAAAAAAAAGAGAAGAAAAAAAAGAAGAAAAAAAAGGAGAAAGCAGGAAGGGGATTGAGGGAGATTTGGTCACCTGAGAGAAAAGGAGAAAGCAGGAAGGGAACTGAGGGAGATTTGATCACCTGAGAGAAAAAAGAAGAAAGCAGGAAGGGAATGGAGGGAGATTTGGTCACCTGAGAGAAAAGAAGAAAGCAGGAAGGGAACTGAGGGAGATTTGGTCACCTGAGAGAAAAGGAGAAAGTAGGAAGGGAATGGAGGGAGATTTGGTCACCTGAGAGAAAAGAAGGAAGCAGGAAAGGAACTGAGGGAGGTTTGGTCACTTGAGAGAAAAGGAGAAAGCAGGAAGGGGATTGAGGGAGATTTAATCACCTGAGAGAAAAGGAAGCAGGAAGGGAATGGAGGGAGATTTGATCACCTGAGAGAAAGGAAGAAAGCAGGAAAGAAGGGGATTGAGGGAGATTTGGTCACCTGAGAGAAAAAAGAAATCAGGAAGGGAATGGAGGGAGATTTGGTCACCTCAGAGAAAAAAGAAGGAAGCAGGAAAGGAACTGAGGGAGATTTGATCATCTGAGAGAAAAAGAAGCAGGAAGGGGATTGAGGGAGATTTGATCACCTGAGAGAAAAGGAGAAATCAGGAAGGGAATGGAGGGAGATTTGATCACCTGAGGGAAAAGGAAGCAGGAAGGGAACTGAGGGAGATTTGATCACCTGAGAGAAAAAAGAAGAAATCAGGAAGGGAATGGAGGGAGATTTGATCACCTGAGAACAAAGAAGGAAGCAGGAAGGGAATTGAGGGAGATTTGATCACCTGAGAACAAAGAAGGAAGCAGGAAGGGAACTGAGGGAGATTTGATCACCTGAGAGAAAAGTGCAGGAGTCAGAGAGGCCGTGGGCAGGGAAGGGCTCAGGATGCCCAGCGGGCTGGGGTCGCTGCCCGTGATGACCAGGNAATATTTGGGTGTAAAAAGGGAAAAAAAATGAATGTGGTAAGGGAATGAAGGGAAAGCAGCCCGGTGCTGTTGTGGATTTTAATTGAATTTTTAATGGCTGGGGATGGGGATGTCTGGGAAAATGGGATTTATGGGGAAATGGGATTTATGGGGATGGGAATTCCTGGGAAAAATGGAATTTATGGGAAAAATGGAATCACTGGGAAATGGGAATGTCTGGGAAATGGGAATCTCTGGGAAATGGGAATCCCTGGGAAAAATGGAATTTATGGGAAAAATGGAATTCCTGGACAATGGGAATCCCTGGGAAAAAAATGGGATTTCTGGGAAAAAATGGAATCTCTGGGAAATGGGAATTCCTGGGGAAAATGGGAATTCCTGGGGAAAATGGAATCCCTGGAAAAGGGAAACCTCTGGGAAATGGGAATTTCTGGGAAAAATGGAATCCCTGGGAAATGGGAATTCCTGGAAAAGGGAACCTCTGGGAAATGGGAATCCCTGGAAAAATGAAATTCCTGGGAAATGGGAATCCCTGGGAAAAATGGAATTTATGGAAAAAAATGGAATTTATGGGGAAAATGGAATTCCTGGGAAAAATGGAATTCCTGGGGAATGGGAATTCCTGGGAAAAAATGGAATCCTTAGGAAAAATGGGAATTCCTGGGAAATGGGAAACCTCTGGGAAATGGGAATCCCTGGGAAAAAATGGGAATTCCTGGGAAAAAATGGAATCTCTGGGAAATGGGAATTCCTGGGAAAAATGGGAATTCCTGGGAAAAATGGGACTACCTGGAAAAGGGAAACCTCTGGGAAATGGGAATCCCTGGGAAAAATGGGAATTCCTGGGAAAAAATGGAATCCCTGGGAAATGGGAATCCCAGGGGAAAATGGAATTTATGGGAAAAAATTGAATTCCTGGACAATGGGAATCCCTGGAAAAGGGGAATCCTTGGAAAATGGGAAGCCCTGGAAAAAATGGGAATTCCTGGGAAAAATGGGAATTCCTGGGAAATGGGAATCTCTGGGAGAATGGGAACGCCTGGGAAATGGGAATCCCTGGGAAAAATGGAATTTATGGGAAAAAATGGAATCCTTGGATAATGGGAATCTGGGAAATGGGAATCCCTGGGGAAAAATGGAATCTCTGGGAAAAATGGGAATTCCTGGGAAAAAATGGAATCCTTGGGAAATGGGAATCCCTGGGAAAAATGGAATTTATGGGAAAAATGGAATTCCTGGACAACGGGAATCCCTGGGAAAAATGGAATTCCTGGGAAATGGGAATTCCTGGGAAATGGGAATCTCTGGGAAATGGGAATCCCTGGGAAATTGGAACCCCTGGGAAAAATGGGAATCCCTGGGAAAAATGGGAATCCCTGGGAAATGGGAATGCCTGGGAAATGGGAATCCTTGGGAAAAATGGAATCCTTAGGAAAAATGGGACTACCTGGAAAAGGGGAATCCCTGGAGAAATGGGAATCCCTGCAGAAGGGAAACCCTGGGAATGGGAATCCCTGGGAAATGTGAAGGAATCCCTGGGAGAACGGGAACGCCTGGGAAATGGGAACCCCTGGGAAAAATGGGAATGCCTGGAAAAGGAAAACCTCTGGGAAATGGGATTGCCTGGGGAATGGGAATCCCTGGGAAAAGGAGAATCCCTGGAAAAGGGGAATCCCTGGACAAGGGCACTCCCTGGGGAATGGGAATCCCTGGGAATGGGAATGCCTGGGAATGGCTGGGAATGCCTGGGAAATGGGAATCCCTGGGAAAAGGGAATCCCTGGGAAGACAGGAACCCCTGGACAATGGCATTCCCTGGGGAATGGAAATCCTTGGGAAATGGGAATGCCTGGGAACCCCTGGGGAATGGGAATCCCTGGAAAAGGGAAACCTCTGGGAAATGGGAATCCCTGCAAAAATGGGAATCTCTGAGAATCCCTGGGAAATGGGAATTCCTGGGAATGGGAATCCCTGGGAAAAGAGGAGTCCCTGGGGAACCCCTGGACAATGGCACTGCCTGGGGAATGGGAATCCCTGGGAAAAGGGGAATCCCTGGGATTAGGAATGCCTGGAGAAATGGGAATCCCTGGGAAAAATTGAATTCCTGGGAAAAAATGGAATCCCTGGACAATGGGAACCCCTGGAAAATGGGAATCTCTGAGAATCCCTGGGAAATGGGAATGCCTGGGAATGTCTGGGAATGGGAATCCCTGGAAAATGGGAATCCCTGGGAGAATGGGAACACCTGGGAAATGGCAATCCCTGGGAAATGGGAATCCCTGGGAAGAGGGGAATCCCTGGAGAACGGGACCCCCTGGGAATGGCGGGAATGCGGGCCGTACCTGGAAGAGGGANAAAAAAAAAAGAAGAAAAAAAAGGAGAAATCAGGAAGGAAATGGAGGGAGATTTGATCACCTCAGAGAAAAGGAGAAAGAGGAAGGAAGGGGATTGAGGGAGATTTGATCACTTGAGAGAAAAGGAGGAAGCAGGAAGGGAATGGAGGGAGATTTGATCACCTGAAAAAATGAGAAATCAGGAAGGGAATGGAGGGAGATTTGAACCTGAGGGAAAAGAAGAAATCAGGAAGGGAATGGAGGGAGATTTGATCACCTGAGAGAAAAGAGGGAAACAGGAAGGGAACTGAGGGAGATTTGATCACCTGAGAGAAAAGAAGAAAGCAGGAAAGGAACTGAGGGAGATTTGATCATCTGAGAGAAAAAGAAGCAGGAAGGAAGGGGATTGAGGGAGATTTGGTCACCCGAAAAAAGGAGAAAGCAGGAAGGGAATTGAGGGAGGTTTGATCACCTGAGAGAAAAGAGGGAAACAGGAAGGGAATGGAGGGAGGTTTGATCACCTGAGAGAAAAGGAGAAAGCAGGAAGGGAATGGAGGGAGGTTTGGTCACCTGAAAAAAGGAGAAATCAGGAAGGGAATGGAGGGAGATTTGATCACTTGAGAGAAAAGGAAGCAGGAAAGGAATTGAGGGAGATTTGATCACTTGAGAGAAAAGGAGAAAGCAGGAAGGGAACTGAGGGAGGTTTGGTCACCCAAAAAAAGGAGAAAGCAGGAAAGGAATGGAGGGAGATTTGATCACCTGAGAGAAAAGAAGGAAGCAGGAAAGGAACTGAGGGAGGTTTGATCACCTGAGAGAAAAGGAGAAAGTAGGAAGGGAATGGAGGGAGATTTGGTCACCTGAGAGAAAAAAGAAGAAATCAGGAAGGGAACTGAGGGAGATTTGATCACCTCAGAGAAAAGGAGAAAGCAGGAAGGGAATGGAGGGAGGTTTGATCACTTGAGAGAAAAGGAGAAAGCAGGAAGGGAATGGAGGGAGATTTGGTCACCTGAAAAAAGGAGAAAGCATGAAGGGAATGGAGGGAGATTTGGTCACCTGAAAAAAGAAGAGAGCAGGAAGGGAATGGAGGGAGATTTGATCACCTGAGAGAAAAGGAGGAAGCAGGAAGGAAGGGGATTGAGGGAGATTTGATCACCTGAAGGAAAAGGAGAAAGCAGGAAGGGAACTGAGGGAGATTTGATCACCTGAGAGAAAAGGAAGCAGGAAAGGAACTGAGGGAGGTTTGATCACCTGAGAGAAAAGGAGAAAGCAGGAAGGGGACTGAGGGAGATTTGGTCACCTGAGAGAAAAGTGCAGGAGTCAGAGAGGCCGTGGGCAGGGAAGGGCTCAGGATGCCCAGCGGGCTGGGGTCGCTGCCCGTGATGACCAGGGTGGGGGCCAGCTCCAGCCCTTTGGGTTTCTTCGCTCTGGAGAGGTGATNCTGGATATGCATAATATACATACATATATTGTATATATTTTTTATATATATATATATATATGCATAATATACATAAAATATATTAGACATACACTACATTTTTCCCTATTTTTTTACACTTTCTGGCATAGTGAATAACACTGGATATATATAATATACATATATACATTATATATATATTGTATATATTATACATGTATATACATATATATGTATATACATGTGTATATATATACTGTATATATACTGTGTATATATATATATACACACATATATATACATAATATACATATAATATATTAGATATACACTATATTTTTCCCTTTTTTTTTACCATTTCTGGGATAGTGAATAACACTTGATATGCATAATATACATATATATATTGTGTATATATATATATACACACACAATATATATGTATATTTTGTATATATCTATATATACACAATATATATTATATATATAGTGTATCTCTAATATATTAAATGTATATTATGTATATATATATATATATACACAGTATATATGTATATTATGTATATCCAGTGTTATTTACTATCCAAGAAATGGTAAAAAAAACAGGGAAAAATATAGTGTATATCTAATATATTATGTGTATATTATGTATATATATATAGAGAGTACATATATATACAGAATATATATACGTATATTATGCATATCCAGTGTTATTCACTATGCCAGAAATGGAAAAAAATAGGGAAAAATATAGTGTGTATCTAATATATTATATGTATATTATGTGTATATATATATACAGTATATACATAATATACATATATACATTGTATATATTATACATGTATATACATACATATATATATACTGTATATATACTGTGTATATATATACACACATATATACATAATATACATATAATATATTAGATATACACTATATTTTTCCATGCTTTTTTATCATTTCTGACATAGTGAATAACACTGGATATACATAATATACATATATATATTGTATATATATATATACTCTATATATACACACATATATATACACAATATACATAAAATATATTAGATATACACTATATTTTTCCCTATTTTTTTACCATTTCTGGGATNTTTTTCCCTATTTTTTTACACTTTCTGGCATAGTGAATAACACTGGATATACATAATATACATATATATATTGTGTGTATATATATATATACACACACACAATATATATGTATATTGTGTATATATCTATATATACAAAATATATATATATTATATATATAGTGTATTTTAATATATTATATGTATATTATGTGTGTATATATATACACACAGTATATATGTATATTATGTATATCCAGTGTTATTTACTATCCAAGAAATGGTAAAAAACCCAGGGAAAAATATAGTGCATATCTAATATATTATATGTATTTTATGTATATATATGTGTGTGTATATATATATACACAGTATATATACAGTATATATATACACATATATGTATATACATGTTTTATATATACAGTATATATATATATATACACTATATATAAATGTATGTTAGGCATATCCAGTGTTATTCACTATGCCAGAAAATGTAAAAAAAAATAGGGAAAAATGTAGTGTATGTCTAATAGACTATATGTATATTATGTATATACTGTATATATATACACACACATATATATACTTAATATACATATAATATATTAGATATACACTATATTTTTCCCTATTTCTTTACCATTTCTGGCATAGTGAATAACACTGGATATGCATAATATACATACATATATTGTATATATATATTTTTTCTATATATATGCATAATATACATAAAATATATTAGACATACACTACATTCTTCCTTATTCTTTTTCACTTTCTGGCATAGTGAATAACACTGGATATACATAATAAACATATATACATTGTGTATATATATTGTATATATTATACATGTATATACATATATATATATGTGTATATATATATATACTGCACATATACTGTGTATATGTGTATATATATACACACACATATATACATAATATAATATATTAGATATACACTATATTTTCCCTGCTTTTTTATCATTTCTGGCATAGTGAATAACACTGGATATGCATAATATACACATATATATTGTATATATATATACTCTATATATATATATACACAAAATATATTAGATATACACTATATTTTTCCCTATTTCTTTACCATTTCTGGGATAGTGAATAACACTGGATATACATAATATACATATATACTGTGTATATATATATATATATATACACATTATATACATATAATACATTAGAGATACACTATATATATTATATATATATATATAGTGTATATATAGATATATACACAATATACATATACATACACAGTATATACATAATATACATATAATATATTAGCCCTACACTACATTTTTCCCTATTTTTTTTACACTTTCTGCCATAGTGAATCACAGTGTATACACATAATATTGGATATACATTATAATTTTTCCCCTAGCAAAGGGGGTCCAGGGGGGAGTTTGATACTCAAACATTAAACCCAAGATACCCAAACATTAAATCCAAGATAAACATTAATCCCAAGATATTCCTGGCACCTTTCTGGGCACCTTTCTGGGCACAATCCCTGCCCCGTGGCTGGTGATGGGACACTGATGCAGGCAGGGAAATTGCTGCAATTAAAAGCAACAATCTCCAAGGCAAGGCCACCCACAGCCCCGAGGTGCTTTCCCCGTTAATTACTGCACAGCTCCCTGCTTGCCCTCATTAATTACTGAGCACTCGAAGAAACTGGAGGCTGTGCTGGAGACTCTGCCCACAGCTCCCCGGGCTGTGCCAGGTGATCCGTACGGGATTGGGGAACCGGGAAAACACCCTAAAAATCCATACGGGATTTAGGAAAACACCTTAAAAAATCCATAAGGGATTTAGGAACCGGGAAAACACCGTAAAAATCCATACGGGATTTAGGAAGCAGGAAAACACCTTAAAAAATCTGAAAACACCCTAAAAACCCATACAGGAAAACACCTTAAAAAATCCATGCAGGATTTAGGAAAACACCTTAAAAAATCCGAAAACACCTTAAAAAATCCATACAGGATTTAGGAGCCAGGAAAACACATCAAAAAAAGCAACCAGGATTTAGGGACCAGGAAAACACCTTAAAAATCCATACAGGATTTAGGGACCAAGAAAACACCATAAAAAATCCACACAGGATTTAGGAACCAGGAAAACACCTTAAAAAATCCATACGGGATTTAGAGACCATGAGAACACCTTAAACAATCCATACAGGATTTAGGAAAACACCTTAAAAAATCCATACGGGATTTAGGGAGCAGGAAAACACCTTAAAAAAATCCATACGGGATTTAGGAAAACACCTTAAAAAATCCGAAAACACCTTAAAAAATCCATACAGGACTTAGGAAAACACCTTAAAAATCCATAGAGGATTTAGGGACAAGGAGAACACCTTAAATGATTTAGGGCCCAGGAAAACACCTTAAAGAAATCCGAAAACACCTTAAAAAATCCATACAGGATTTAGGGACAAGGAAAACACCTTAAAAATCCATACGGGATTTAGGGACAAGGAAAACACCTTAAAAAATCCATACAGGATTTAGGGAGCAGGAAAACACCTTAAAAAATCCAAAAATACCTTAAAAAATCCATACAGGATTTAAGAGCAGGAAAACACCTTAAAAAATCCATACAGGATTTAGGAAAACACCTTAAAAAATCCGAAAACACCTTAAAAATCCATACAGGATTTAGGAAAACACCTTAAAAAAATCCATACGGGATTTAGGAGCCAGGGAAACACATCAAAAAAAAAAAAACAACCAGGATTTGGGGATCAGGAAAATCTCTTAAAAAATCCATACAGGATTTGGGGACCAGGAAAAAAAATCTATACAGGATTTNCTTTTTGGAGGGCACGGTGACAAATTTGATGACGGAAGGGGTGGTGGCGTCCTGAGGTTTCTTCTCCGCCAGCTTCTCAGCCGGGTTCTCGATCTTGATGGACCTGAAGAGCTTCACACTGGAGGAGTTGAGGGAGTTGAGGGTGAAGGAGGAGTACAGGCCTGAGTGGATGTAGTCGTTGCGGCTCGAGGATTTTGCACAGGATTGGGATTTCTCCTTGCCGCAGCTCTCCGCCTCCTTGGGGGTGCTGGTGACCTCCCCAAATCCAGGAATTTCGGGGTCCCCCTCCATCCTGCCCACCACAAGGGGGTCCATGTTCAGGATCTCGGGGTAGGAAACGAATTTGTACACAAATTTCTTCCCGTTCACCTTCTTGATGATATTCTGGTGGAGGAGAAGACAAAAAGTATATTTAGATCTTTCTCCAGATTAATTTTCTTCCTGCAAACACTGCCTAAAATAGGCAGAGGAATTAAAGTCTGTAATCTTTCGGCCAAAAAAAAAATAAAAAAAAAGAACGTTTCGTCTTTTCCTGTTTTAAAAACACCCTGAGTGTTCCAGTTCTGTTCTTGGAGCTGGCAGACAAAACACTGCAACAGGTGAGCTTAACCTGACATTAAACACACTAAAAACAGCTTAAAAAATGCCAAGAAATCCTGATTAATATAAAAAAAATGCTCTTTACTCCCAGCAAGGATCACTTAGCTGGGAACACTATGGATAATTTAAAGGTTTTCTCCAGGACTGCAGAACTGAGAGCTTGCACTTCAAACCAAACCACCTTTATTCTTAATCAGATGCTAATAAAGGAAAATAAAGCAGCTGAACTCGTCAGCAGAACGCAGGCTAATCAGTTATTTCAATACCACAGAACAGCATCTGTCAAACTTGTTTTGCTCCTCGGCGAAATGCCACGCACACTTTGCACTGGGAATTATCCTTATTTATCACTCCCTGATTGCTGCTGAGATCTCTCGGTGCCAAAAGCAGATTTGTGATGAGCACCAGCTCCCTCCTCCCACCTGCTCCAGGCTCCTCAGAAACTGCAGGGTTATTTTTATCTGCTCCGCTCACACGTGGGGATAAAGGGAAACAGAGGTGAGAAACTCCAAGGTGTTGGATAAACAAAAAGCTCCTTACTCTGCTGGGCTGAAAATAATGGGCAAAGTGAAGGTGAAATACACAGAGAAAATAAAAATGCTCAGGGATGGAAAATGTTTATTTTGAAAAAAATAAATGTAAAGAAAAGCTGCAAAAAGTGGTGCAATGTTCAGGCTCTCCATCATCATCCTCTCCCTGTATAAACTATTTTATAGAAACTATATTTTTCCCTTTTTTTTTTTACCATTTCTGACTACACCAAACAGAATTTCCACGAATATTTTCCAGCAGAACATTTGTCCTTCTGGGTAAGATACAGCGGGAATTAAACCAGGCAAAATATTAATTCAGCATCTCCTATAGATTCTCTGTTTAATGAACACAGCTTAAACTTCTTCCTGTGAAATAAAAACTCTCCCTGTGCTTTAGTGGGATTTTAACCCTTAAAACTCTCCCTGTGCTTTACTGGGATTTTAACCCTGAAAACTCTCCCTGTGCTTTACTTGGATTTTAACCCTTAAAACTCTCCCTGTGCTTTATTGGGAATTTAAACTTTAAAACTCTCCCTGTGTTTTATCTGGATTTTAACCCTTAAAACTCTCCCTGTGATTTATTGGGATTTTAACCCTTAAAACTCTCCCTGTGCTTCACCTGGATTTTAACCCTTGCTGGGTGTGTGTAAATCTCCCTGTGCTTTATCTGGATTTTAACCCTTAAAACTCTCCCTGTGCTTTATTGGGATTTTAAACCTTAAAACTCTCCCTGTGCTTTACCTGCATTTTAACCCTTGGATTTTTGGAAGGGGGATGAGGATCCAAAGGCAAATTTGGATGAGCAAAACCACCAGAACCTCCCAAAACAAAGCAGCAAAACTCTCCCTGTGTTTTATCTGGATTTTAACCCTTAAAACTCTCCCTGTGCTTTATTGGGAATTTAAACTTTAAAACTCTCCCTGTGCTTTATTGGGATTTAACCCTTAAAACTCTCCCTGTGCTTTATTGGGATTTTAACACTTAAAATTCTCCCTGTGTTTTATCTGGATTTTAATCCTTAAAACTCTCCCTGTGCTTTACTGGGATTTTAACCCTTAAAACTCTCCCTGTGCTTTATCTGCATTTTAACCCTGAAAACTCTCCCTGTGATTTACCTGGATTTTAATCCTTAAAATTCTGCCTGTGCTTTTCCTGCATTTCAACCTTTAAAACTCTCCCTGTGCTTTATCTGGATTTTAACCCTTAAAATTCTCCCTGTGCTTTATTGGGATTTAACCCTTAAAACTTTCCCTGTGCTTTTCCTGCATTTCAACCTTGAAAACTCTCCCTGTGCTTTATCTTCATTTTAACCCTTAAAACTCTCCCTGTGCTTTAGCTGGATTTTAACCCTTGCAGGGCTGTGGATTTGTGGAAGGGGGATGAGGATCCAAAGACAAACTTGGATGAGCAAAGCCACCAGAACCTCCCAAAACAAAGCAGCAAAACTCTCCCTGTGCTTTACTGGGATTTAACCCTTAAAACTCTCCCTGTGCTTTAGCTGCATTTTAACCCTTAAAACTCTCCCTGTGCTTTATTGGGATTTTAACCCTTAAAACTCTCCCTGTGCTTTACTGGGATTTTAACCCTTAAAACTCTCCCTGTGCTTTATTGGGATTTTAAACTTTAAAACTCTCCCTGTGCTTTAGTGGGATTTTAACCCTTAAAACTCTCCCTGTGCTTTAGCTGGATTTTAACCCTCAAAACTCTCCCTGTGCTTTACCTGCATTTTAACCCTTAAAACTCTCCCTGTGCTTTATTGGGATTTAACCCTTAAAACTCTCCCTGTGCTTTACCTGCATTTCAACCTTTAAAACTCTCCCTGTGCTTTATCTGCATTTTAACCCTTCAAACTCTCCCTGTGCTTTAGCTGCATTTTAACCCTTAAAACTCTCCCTGTGCTTTAGTGGGATTTTAAACCTTGCTGGGTGTGTGTAAATCTCCCTGTGCTTTACCTGGACTTTAAATCGTAACACTCTCAGTGTGCTCTACCTTCATTTTAACCCTTGGATTTTTGGAAGGGGGATGAGGATCCAAAGGCAAATTTGGATGAGCAAAGCCACCAGAACCTCTCAAAAAAAAGCAGCAAAACTCTCCCTGGGCTTTACCCGGACTTTAACCCTTGCAGGGCTGTGGATTTGTGGAAGGGGGATGAGGATCCAAAGACAAACCCGGATGAGCAAAACCACCAGAACCTCCCAACACAAAGCAGCGAGGAGGAAACAGCGCGGCGATAAACAAAATTCAAACCCAACCCAACCCCTTTAAACAAAGCAGCTCAACTTCCTTCACGCTGGCACAGCCAGGAGGAGGAGGAGGAGGAGGAGGAGGAGGGAACAAAGCTCCTCAGCTCAGAGGGGGAAGGATTGGAGCAGCATTTCCAGCCTACCTTCACGTAGTAGTAGCGCAGCGCGCGGCTGAGTTTGTCATAGTTCATGCTGGGCTTGTTCTTGCGGATCCCCCAGAGCCTGGCCACCTCCTCTGCCTGCAGCAGCTTGAATTCCCCGTCGTTGGAGGTCCAGCAGATGATGTTCTTGTTCTGGGGCTCTTGCAGCAGCTGGAGGAGGAACTGCCACAGGGTGATGGCACTGTCCATAGCAGAGAGCTGCAATTCACAAAGCAACGTTAAGCCCGCGGCATTTCCCTCCTTTCTCTCCCTACAAGG